TCGCCCAATCAAGAAAATGCAAAATGGCTCCATAGCGCCCCCTAAGGTGAAAATTCACACTATTGACTGTCACGCCTGTACGCTTTGTCAAAATGACACAAAAATTGACACACACATGTATCTCAATAAGATCTACAAAAAAGTCAGTGCGGGCGTATCTGTCAAATGTACGGTTAAAGGGTTATTCCGCATTTTTTGCCGATCCGCACACATTGGAATTTCGCTAACTCCTCCGAAGGCTTTCGTTCCACCGGCACCACATTTGCTCAGGCCAATCTACACCCCATGGCAATTAAAAGTTATTCAAATCATGACGCTGCACCCCACGGTTTAGGTTCTAGGGGGCGCCAAAGATAACCCTAAAATCCACATATTTAAAAGTCTTATAACTTTTTATTTTTGTCCCCACTGGCCTCCAAGTTTTCTAGGATGATGCAATGTCCAGCCATCAACACATTTGTGAAGGAATTTTTACTCGCCAAAAGAGCGCCCTCCCATGGCAGGAGAAAAAAGTCCATTTTTTCTTGTCCACTAAGGTGAAAATACACATTGTTGAGTGCTAGGCCTGTATGTTTTGTCGTATTGACACAAAATTTTACATACACGTGTATTTCAATAAGATCTTCGAAAAAGTCAATGGCCACGTATCTGTAAAATGTACAGTTAAAGGGTTATTTCGCATTTTTTGCAGATTCGCACACATTGGAATTTCGCTAACTCCTCCGAAGGCTTTCGTTCCACCGGCACCACATTTGCTCAGGCCAATCTACACCCCATGGCCATTAAAAGTTATTCAAATCATGACGCTGCACCCCACGGTTTAGGTTCTAGGGGGCGCCAAAGATAACCCTAAAATCCACATATTTAAAAGTCTTATAACTTTTTATTTTTGTCCTCACTGGCCTCCATGTTTTCTAGGATGATGCAATGTCCAGCCATCAACACATTTGTGAAGGAGTTTTTTCTCTTTAAAAGAGCGCCCCCCCATGGCAGGAGAATAAAGTCAAGTTTTTCCTGTTCATCATTCAATGGCTCAAACGCACTGCTCTCTCGGCAAAAGCGAAAGGAGGAGCAACTTGCCATTTGGATATATCTTAGCTGTGTTTGTGCCCTCACTCATGGTCCAGACTTTTTTCAAATAGGACATGGAGTTTTTCTGCAGCCAGCGTTTTGGTAGAAACTGCGCCTCCCGTTCATTATAATGGTAAATGACCACAAACAAGTGCGCACACCATCTTTGGACCTTGAGTGTGACGCGATTGGGTGGGGGAGGCGGTCGCACTGGGGGCGGCGTGACACGGCTCGGGCCCGCCAGTGCCCCAACGGGGCCCTAGTTAGGGCCCGAGCGTAGCTGCTAAGCAGCTGCGAGAGCCCTATTATTCCTGATGGATTCTTCTTTCTTCTTCTTCTTCTTATTAGGGCCCGAGCGTAGCTGCTAAGCAGCTGCGAGAGCCCTATTATTCCCCAAGGGGTTTTTCTTTGTTTCTTTTTTCTTTTTCCTCCCCTTTGAACTGGAAAATGGCCCACTTCCCACTGGCGAAAACTCATGAAATTTGGCAGGACGACCGGGCCTGGTGAAAAATTCGATATTCCGAAGTCGCCCAAACAAGAAAATGCAAAATGGCTCCATAGCGCCCCCTAAGGTGAAAATTCACACTATTGAGTGTCACGCCTGTACGCTTTGTCAAAATGACACAAAATTTGACACACACATGTATCTCAATAAGATCTACAAAAAAGTCAGTGCGGGCGTATCTGTCAAATGTACGGTTAAAGGGTTATTTCGCATTTTTTGCCGATCCGCACACATTGGAATTTCGCTAACTCCTTTGAAGGCTTTCGTTCCACCGGCACCACATTTGCTCAGGCCAATCTACACCCCATGGCCATTAAAAGTTATTCAAATCATGACGCTGCACCCCACGGTTTAGGTTCTAGGGGGCGCCAAAGATAACCCTAAAATCCACATATTTAAAAGTCTTATAACTTTTTATTTTTGCCCTCACTGGCCTCCAAGTTTTCTAGGATGATGCAATGTCCAGCCATCAACACATTTGTGAAGGAATTTTTACTCCCCAAAAGAGCGCCCCCCCATGGCAGGAGAAAAAGTCCATTTTTTCTTGTCCCCTAAGGTGAAAATACACATTGTTGAGTGTCACGCCTGTACGCTTTGTCAAAATGACACAAAAATTGACACACACATGTATCTCAATAAGATCTACAAAAAAGTCCATGCGCGCGTATCTGTCAAATGTACGGTTAAAGGGTTATTCCGCATTTTTTGCCGATTCGCACACATTGGAATTTCGCTAACTCCTCTGAAGGCTTTCGTTCCACCGGCACCACATTTGCTCAGGCCAATCTACACCCCATGGCCATTAAAAGTTATTCAAATCATGACGCTGCACCCCACGGTTTACGTTCTAGGGGGCGCCAAAGATAACCCAAAAATCCACATTTTTAAAAGTCTTATAACTTTTTATTTTTGTCCTCACTGGCCTCCAAGTTTTCTAGGATGATGCAATGTCCAGCCATCAACACATTTGTGAAGGAATTTTTACTCCCTAAAAGAGCGCCCCCCCATGGCAGGAGAAAAAAGTCCATTTTTTCTTGTCCCCTAAGGTGAAAATACACATTGTTGACTGTCACGCCTGTACGCTTTGGCAAAATGACACAAAAATTGACAATCATGTGTATCTCAATTAGATCTACGAAAAAGTCAAAGAGCGCGTATCTGTATAATGTACGGTAAAAGGGCTATTTTGCATTTTTTGCCGATTCGCACACATTGGAATTTCGCTAACTCCTCCTAAGGCTTTCGTCCCACTGACACCAAATTTGCTCAGGCCAATCTACACTCCATGGCCATTCAAAGTTGTAAAAATCATGACGCTGCACCCCACGGTTTACGTTTTAGGGGGCGCCAAAGATGACCCAAATATACATTACAGTAGACAAAGTAGTTTTGCCCACTGAGTGGCGCCAAAGGGACTTGTCTGTGGAGTCTGTGAGTCACTATTGGCCGTTTTTGACTACTTTAGATTTTACCTTTATATTTCCTCTTACAAAAATTTTTACCTTGCCTTGCCTGGTATCATTTTTTTCAGCACAACCTCACCTGTGTCAATTTACAGTTATTTTATCATTTTGACATACTATATTTACACATTGGACCCAAATTCACACACAAAACATAAAATCCGAGTGGAAAAAAGTAACGTTTTTACTGTGAAAACCACAAATATGTGTGATGAACTGTTTTTAAAACTTAAACTTCAAATAAAAATTGTAAACTTCAAAACATATGCAAATTTTTAACAAAGAACATAGTAATTTACCTCTATTTACATCAAAATGCAGGCAATGGCCCAGGTGTTCTTTGTAAAATTATTTACAAAACACTGTATAGTCTCACAAATGTCACTTTTTATTTATGCCACTACAAAAAAACATGATGTAAATGATGCATGATGTAAAACATGATGTAAAAAACTTGTGTAGATCCTCCTCTATGTTAGTCCATGTGTAATTTTTCCATAATTCTTTGTTTTTTGCAGCATTTTTGTTAGTGTAACTGCAGATTGTGCTGACAGTGTCTATGGCAAAAAAAAAAAAAAAACTGAAAATGCCTCAACATGAACCCCTGGTGGTCTCTGAGGGTGAAACCTGCTAACTGCTGCAGCTCTGTCAGCTTCAGTCTCCCATGCAGAGCTCGGAGCGCATGTGTGGCTCTGCACCCTTAGCAGCGTTGCTAACTCCTCAGTAAGGAAAGCCTGCTTCATGTCAGAGTCTCTAAACTCCAGAAGAAGTCGATAAAAGTCACTTTCTTTCTAAAAAAAAGTCGTTAGGGGGTCTGAAAAGTCATTGAATCTAACAACAAAGTCGCTAGGTTTGCAACTACGTGTCCCAGACTGCATCCCTGCTGAGAGTCCCTCCCTCCCTTCTCATATTGCAGGAAGAACGTAAGCGCCCGCCCCTTGTCAATCAGTCACCATATAATTTTGGATTGGTTGTTGTGGTGAAGTTTTCCACCAATAGGAGAGATGTTGTGGTGTGTTTTTTTTTTCCTTTGGCAAGCCTTTTCCGCCTGTAAGACCTGTCGCTAATGTCTGCATGCTATGTTTTCCTGTCTCATACAGCGCGATCGAGCGCCGAACGTGATCAAAATAAGCAGAAAACAAGTATCGCGGACATAATTTATCATAACTCTGGTTTTATTTGGCCTATCAACACAATTTAAAAACTGGTATATAGGTTGAGGTCCTCACTTTTGAGATAAGTTGAAACGGAGTCAACGAGGCTCCGTCTTGCAGCTACATCCGGTTAAATATGTCATGTGACTTGAACGCACACACACACACACACACACACACACAGACACATACACACACACACGCACACACACACACACTCAGAGTCTGGTTTTTAGCACCTGCAAAAACATGCTATTTACATATTTGACAAGAATGCAGAGGCTCCTTTTGCCCCTGAAAAAAATCAAATTTCAAACACAACTTGACTGGTCATTTCTCCAAAAGACAACCATGAAGCTCCATCCAAACCTGAAGCAGGCAGTTGGTGCATGTGTACAGTAACCTGAGGGGAGTGAGGTGACTGCTTCTGAGGAGAACATGAGCAGTGAAGATTCACCTTAGAGCTAGAACAGAGACGTGCACATGATTATACAGGGGCAGGGGCTCAAGTTTTTTCCAGTTGTTTATACAATATGGAAATTAATGTGAAATTAAAAAACAAAGTATTAATAGAAAGGTAATGACTGTCCTGTGTAGGTGACAGTGATATCCAATAGGCTAGGCACTCAAGAGGCTGGCTGTGGCAAGTGTAAGTGAAAGCAACACGCACTGGCAGGAAGAACAGCAAACGCCGATGAAGGAAAAGGGTCTTTGCAGTGATGGGCGTTACCAGAGAGGGCGATGGCCAGAGGACACAAATGGGACGGGGAGGCAGCGCGTTGGGGGGGGGACGCGACACAGCTCGGGCCCGCCAGTGCCCCAACGGGGTCCTAGTTATTTTTCTGCCCCTTTGAACTGGAAAATGGCCCACTTCCCACTGGTGAAAAGTCATGAAATTTGGCAGGACGACCGGGCCTGGTGAAAAATTCGATATTCTGAAGTCGCCCAAAAAATCAAATGCAAAATGGCTCCATAGCGCCCCCTAAGGTGAAAAATTCACATGATTGAGTGTCACGCCTGTACGCTTTGTCAAAATGACACAAAATTTGACACACACGTGTATCTCAATAAGATCTACAAAAAAGTCAGTGCGGGCGTATCTGTCAAATGTACGGTTAAAGGGTTATTTCGCATTTTTTGCCGATCCGCACACATTGGAATTTCGCTAACTCCTCCGAAGGTTTTCGTTCCACCGGCACCACATTTGCTCAGGCCAATCTACACCCCATGGCCAATAAAAGTTGTACAAATTATGACGCTGCACCCATCGGTTTACGTTCTAGGGGGCGCCAAAGATAACCCAAAAATCCACAGTCTTAAAAGTCTTATAACTTTTTATTTTTGTCCTCACTGGCCTCCAAGTTCTCTAGGATGATGCAATGTCCAGCCATCAACACATTTGTGAAGGAATTTTTACTCGCCAAAAGAGCGCCCCCCCATGGCAGGAGAAAAATGTCCATTTTTTCTTGTCTCCTAAGGCGAAAATACACATCGTTGACTGTCACGCCTTTACGCTTTGTCAAAATGACACAAAATTTGACACACACATGTATCTCAATAAGATCTACAAAAAAGTCAGTGCGGGCGTATCTGTCAAATGTACGGTTAAAGGGTTATTTCGCATTTTTTGCCGATCCGCACACATTGGAATTTCGCTAACTCCTCCGAAGGCTTTCGTTCCAACGGCACCACATTTGCTCAGGCCAATCTACACCCCATGGCCATTAAAAGTTGTACAAATCATGACGCTGCACCCCACGGTTTACGTTCTAGGGGGCGCCAAAGATAACCCTAAAATCCACAGTCTTAAAAGTCTTATAACTTTTTATTTTTGTCCTCACTGGCCTCCAAGTTCTCTAGGATGATGCAATGTCCAGCCATCAACACATTTGTGAAGGAATTTTTACTCGCCAAAAGAGCGCCCCCCCCATGGCAGGAGAAAAAAGTCCATTTTTTCTTGTCTCCTAAGGCGAAAATACACATTGTTGACTGTCACGCCTTTACGCTTTGTCAAAATGACACAAAATTTGACACACACATGTATCTCAATAAGATCTACGAAAAAGTCAATGCGAGCGTATCTGTTCAATGTACGGTTAAAGGGCTATTTCGCATTTTTTGCCGATTCGCACACATTGGAATTTCGCTAACTCCTCCGAAGGCTTTCGTTCCACCGGCACCACATTTGCTCAGGCCAATCTACACCCCATGGCCATTCAAAGTTGTACAAATCATGACGCTGCACCCCACGGTTTAGGTTCTAGGGGGCGCCAAAGATAACCCTAAAATCCACATATTTAAAAGTCTTATAACTTTTTATTTTTGTCCTCACTGGCCTCCAAGTTTTCTAGGATGATGCAATGTCCAGCCATCAACACATTTGTGAAGGAATTTTTACTCCCGAAAAGAGCGCCCCCCCATGGCAGGAGAAAAAAGTCCATTTTTTCTTGTCCCATAAGGTGAAAAAACACATTGTTGACTGTCACGCCTATACGCTTTGTCAAAATGACACAAAAATTGACACACACGTGTATCTCAATAAGATCTACGAAAAAGACAATGCGCGCGTATCTGTAAAATGTACGGCTAAACGGCTATTTTGCATTTTTTGCCGATTCGCACACATTGGAATGTGGCTAACTCCTCCTAAGGCTTTCGTCCCACTGACACCAAATTTGCTCAGGCCAATCTACACCCCATGGCCATTCAAAGTTGTAAAAATCATGCCGCTGCACCCCATGGTTTACGTTCTAGGGGGCGCCAAAGATGACCCAAATATCCACATTCTTAAAAGTCGTTTTGGCCACTGCAGGAGTACAGAGTACTGCAGGATACACACACACAGACACACACACACACAGACACACACACACACGCACGCACACACACACACACACACACACATACACACTCAGAGTCTGTTTTTCAGCACCTGCAAAAACATGCTATTTACATATTTGACAACAATGCAGAGACTTCCTTTTGCCCCTGAAAAAAATGAAATTTCAAACACAACTTGACTGCTCATGTCTCCAAAAGACAACCATGAAGCTCCATCCAAACCTGAAGCAGGCAGTTGGTGCATGTGTACAGTAACCTGAGGGGAGTGAGGTGACTGCTTCTGAGGAGAACATGAGCAGTGAAGATTCACCTTGGAGCTAGAACAGGGACGTGCACATGATTATACAGGGGCAGGGGCTCAAGTTTTTTCCAGTCGTTTAGACAATATGGAAATTAATGTGAAATTAAAAAACAAAGTATTAATAGAAAGGTAATGACTGTCCTGTGTAGGTGACAGTGATATCCAATAGGCTAGGCACTCACGAGGCTGGCTGTGGCAAGTGCAAGTGAAAGCCACACGCACTGGCAGGAAGAACAGCAAACGCCGATGAAGGAAAAGGGTCTTTGCAGTGATGGGCGTTACCAGAGAGGACGATGGCCAGAGGACGCGAATGGGACGGGGAGGCAGCGCGGTGGGGGGGGGGGGGGGGGGGGGCGACACAGCTCGGGCCCGCCAGTGCCCCAACGGGGCCCTAGTTCGTTATTTTTCCTCCGCTTTAAACTGGAAAATGGCCCACTTCCCACTGGCGAAAACTCAGGAAATTTGGCAGGACAACCGGGCCTGGTGAAAAATTTGATATTCTGAAGTCGTCCAAACAAAAAAATGAAAAATGGCTCCATAGCGCCCCCTATGGTGAAAACTCACCTGATGCCTGTACGCTTTGTCAAAATGACACAAAATTTGACACACATGTGTATCTCAATAAGATCTACAAAAAAGTCAGTGCGGGCGTATCTGCCAAATGTACGGTTAAAGGGCTATTTCGCTTTTTTTGCCGATCCGCACACATTGGAATTTCGCTAACTCCTCCGAAGGCTTTCGTTCCACCGGCACCAAATTTGCTCAGGCCAATCTACACCCCATGGCCATTAAAAGTTGTACAAATCATGATGCTGCACCCCACGGTTTACTTTCTAGGGGGCGCCAAAGATAACACAAAAATCCACATTCTTAAAAGTCTTATAACTTTTTATTTTTGTCCTCACTGGCCTCCAAGTTTTCTAGGATGATGCAATGTCCAGCCATCAACACATTTGTGAAGGAATTTTTACTCCCCAAAAGAGCGCCCCCCCATGGCAGGAGAAAAAAGTCCATTTTTTCTTGTCTCCTAAGGTAAAAATACACATTGTTGAGTGTCACGCCTATACACTTTGTCATATTGACACACAATTTGACAATCACGTGTATCTCAATAAGATCTACAAAAAAGTCAATAGGCACGTATCTGTCAAATGTATGGTTAAAGGGCTATTTCGCATTTTTTGCCGATTCGCACACATTGGAATGTGGCTATCTCCTCCTAAGTCTTTCGTCCCACCGATACCAAATTTGCTCAGGGCAATCTACACCCCATGGCCATTCAAAGTTGTAAAAATCATGACGCTGCACCCCACGGTTTACGTTCTAGGGGGCGCCAAAGATGACCCAAAAATCCACATTCTTAAAAGTCATTTTGGCCACTGCAGGAGTACAGAGTACTGCAGTTCTAGGGGGCGCCAAAGATGACCCAAAAATCCACATTCTTAAAAGTCTTTTTGGCCACTGCAGGAGTACAGAGTACTGCCGGACACACACACATATACACACACGCCAACACACACACACACACACACACACACACACACACACACACACACACACACACACACACACACACACACACACTCAGAGTCTGTTTTTTAGCACCTGCAAAAACATGCTGTTTACATATTTGACAAGAATGCAGAGGCTTCCTTTTGCCCCTGAAAAAAATCAAATTTCAAACACAACTTGACTGTTCATTTCTCCAAAAGACAACCATGAAGCTCCATCCAAACCTGAAGCAGATAGTTGGTGCATGTGTACAGTAACCTGAGGAGAGTGAGGTGACTACTTCTGAGGAGAACATGAGCAGTGAAGATTCACCTTGGAGCTAGAACAGGGACGTGCACATGATTATACAGGGGCAGGGGCTCAAGTTTTTTCCAGTCATTTATACAATATGGAAATTAATGTGAAATTAAACCACAAATATGTGTGATGAACTGTTTTTAACACTTAAACTTCAAATAAAAATTGTAAACTTCAAAACATATGCAAATTTTTAACAAAGAGCATAGTAATTTACCTCTATTTACATCAAAATGCAGGCAATGGCCCAGGCGTTCTTTGTAAAATTATTTACAAAACACTGTATAGTCTCACAAATGTCACTTTTTATTTATGCCTCTACAAAAAAACATGATGTAAATGATGCATGATGTAAAACATGATGTAAAAAACTTGTGTAGATCCTCCTCTATGTCAGTCCATGTGTAATTTTTCCATAATTCTTTGTTTTTTGCAGCATTTTTGTTAGTGTAACTGCAGATTGTGCTGACAGTGTCTATGGCAAAAAAAAAAAAAAACTGAAAATGCCTCAACATGAACTCCTGGTGGTCTCTGAGGGTGAAACCTGCTAACTGCTGCAGCTCTCTCAGCTCTAGTCTCCCATGCAGAGCTCGGAGCGCATGTGTGGCTCTGCACCCTTAGCAGCGTTGCTAACTCCTCAGTAAGGAAAGCCTGCTTCATGTCAGAGTCTCTAAACTCCAGAGGAAGTCGATAAAATTCCCTTTCTTTCTAAAAAAAAGTCGTTAGGGGGTCTGAAAAGTCATTGAATCTAACAACAAAGTCGCTAGGTTTGCAACTACGTTTCCCAGACTGCATCCCTGCTGAGAGTTCCTCCCTCCCTTCTCATATTGCAGGAAGAACGTAAGCGCCCGCCCCTTGTCAATCAGTCACCATATAATTTTGGATTGGTTGTTGTGGTGAAGTTTTCCACCAATAGGAGAGATGTTGTGGTGTGTTTTTTTTTTCTTTTGGCATGCCTTTTCCGCCTGTAAGAGCTGTCGCTAATGTCTGCATGCTATGTTTTCCTGTCTCATACAGCGTGATCGAGCGCCGAACGTGATCAAAATAAGCAGAAAAAAAGTATCGCGGACATAATTTATCAAAACTCTGGTTTTATTTGGCCTATCAACACAATTTAAAAACTGGTATATAGTTTGAGGTCCTCACTTTTGAGATAAGTTGAAACGGAGGGTGAACGAGGCTCCGTCTTGCAGCTACATCCGGTTAAATATGTCATGTGACTTGAACGCTGGGGAGCGTCAATCGACTGCAGAGCCAGCAGACAAAGTAGTTATGCCACTGAGAGGCACACATTTGTCATATGCTATAATCCTAACATATTTTAATGCTTTTTCTATTTAAACCTAATGGATCTAAGGTTTGACCTTCAAAATTTAGGAAGAATATTTTTTTGCAGTAATGACCCCCTTAAACAACCAGAGGTCCTTTCCTAAAGTTTATGGAAATTTTAGTGAAGGCCTTGGTTTCTTTCATGCAAAATGTATAGAAATAATAAAGCTAAATACCATAAAATGGTCTTGGCGTATTAGCAGTGATATAAAATAGTGGTTTGAATATGAATGAACAACAAAAAAAAAACATCAACAGAGCCTTTTTGAGTTGGGATTCTTTCATTATCACACAAAAACAGACATAGACAGACATCTAAAGGGTAAGGGAATGATCAGCCCTCCTAACTCTCAGATGAATCTTAAAAATTCACCGCAGAAATATGCTTATTATTCTTCTCAGAGTAC